AATAATGACCTTTTTCTTTATTAAAATATCAATTGATTTTACTCGACATACAAATGTATCTATGTAAGTAGGTAGATAAGTATGTACATTTCTCGTATTATCAGGCCATATTCGCGTCCAAATTAAAAATGTTAAACTTGCCTTCAGAGCAGCAGCTTTCCATTTTCAAAGTCATTATCATTTTGAGAAGTAAATATTTAAATATTTCAACTGCGCGCACGATAATTTATTTCATACATACCGTGTAATTTGAAAATATATGTATGTAGGTAGGCAAATAAGCATGTTGTTATTAGCCAAAGAATTTTTATTGTTCTGCACTTTTAAACAAATTATGTTCTCAATCCAACTCAATTCAATTAAATTTGTATTGCTTTTCATCACACTTTACCCAAAGTGGCCACAACAACAATTGCTCTACTTTAATCCCATAGCATTCGCTTGGCAAAACAACCATGCGAAGTTATTATGAAATAAACATATAATTAATATAGCACAAGATACTACAAAAATAAACTAAAACACTCAGCTATGTAGATACATAAATACATATGTATATCTGTAAATAAGTATATACGTGTATGTAGGTATTTTTGTATGTAGCCATTCATTTGGCTACGTAACTGGACGGATTCACTAGCGAGTGCCTGCTAATAAAAAACACATGGAATGCCAATACCCGTCGGCATCATAACATTTCAATCTCATTGCACTAGGGGGGGGCGGCGGGAGCTGAACGATGACCTTTACGACCAGCTGACTGGGCGATGATCGCCGCTCAGCATTTGCGGCGCACCGCCTCGTTGACAAAGCATGTAAAAATATGTGTCCACAGCAAGATGCGCGCGTCGCTAGCACGAAAACTATGCACGATAATATTTGTAATGTAGTTTTATCATTGATAGAGTTTGAGAAATTAAGATATTCAGCAAATAAGACCATTTCTTCAGGCTGTATTTATACTAATGTTTAATTTTTCATTAGTAGTTTGCACATGCATTCTATACATTAACTACTACGCCTAGCTTCGATCGGCGACACACACTTATTCACATGCACTTCCCAATCATGTTAAATTGTTATAATTACATATTTTATGCACCAGACAATCCACATTAAGTTAGTTTAGTAAATTTAATCCAAGAATCAAAGATCTGACGACAAGACAAGAACAAACGCGCGAAAGCAGCTACATAAAAATTTCACGACCGAACACGATGCAAAACAGAACGAGAATGAACCGAATTTCTTGATTTCGTTGGCGAATGGAAATTCGCCCCAATCAGTCTTGTTTTGATTATGTTCTTTCTTTGTTTGACATTTCCGTGCTCAGCTGTCAGCAACAGTGTTACCAACACATTTAGAAAAGAAGTGATATGTTTATAGGATAATTAGAAAAGCATTGAAGGCAAAAGAGTGAAATGGGATTTAACGCCAATTTAGCGATTTTTTTTTGGATAGTTGCGTGTAAAGTTTAGGAAATCGCCATTGGCGATTTTTGGGCGATTTTGCAAACCTGGGTTGCCTTGTGCTCTTTTTTCACAAAAAACTTTAGAAAACCGTAGTAGAAAGCGTACTAAATTTCTGAAGAACTGCGTACTGCCTTAAGGAAATTTGACTCAAGAAAATTTCTTAGCCATTTCTTGTACGTCATTTTATATGGAGTTTTTGCTTTTCTTAAGAGCTGGATACTAAGCTTATCCCTGAAGGTATTATAATAAAATATTTGTCAAGTCGATTTCATGAATTTAATTTTAACAAAAATTGGTGATTTTTTGCGATTTTTTTCAGAAATGGCGCTTTTTTTAAATAATCTGGACACCCTGATTAAAGGTACACTGTGAAAAACTGTCTATTGAAGCATGGCTGATAATCACTGCAAAAATCGTTTCCGCGACAGTCGGTCTACATCAGAGGTTGCCAAACACTTTTTTCTCGTAGACACCTTTGCAACACTTTAGTGGTTTCTGTGGACCCCCTGCTGCAACATTTCTAAGATATTCCCAAAGCTCGTCAAAAAATGTGAAGATTGTATCCAACGATTTTAGTTTGCATCGCGGGTGAGTTCCAAAACTAAATTCGGAGTGGCAAAAATAAAAATAAAAGTTTTCTTGTGTTCCATTTATTGAAATAATGTGATTACACACTTCCAAGTTTTAGAAACAGAGCTCGTAAAGTTATTTAAGTACTCTCGCGTTCTGGGAAGTTATATTTTTTAAGAGCACTCCGAGCGCTAGCGTTATTAACATTATCTTCACCATAAACTCCTGACGTGTTCGGCTCACTCATAAATTGATTACACCTATTTCATTTATATTGCTCCGAGTTTTAAGCAGGGATCACATGATTTGTACATTTTAGATTGGATTGGTTACAGATTGGTGTTGTCTGGAATTCTTTTATTGACGTCAACTCAAATTTCTAAACAGCACCACTCTGTGGCTGCCAAAATGTACAGATCCGTACAATGTACAAATCGTGTGATTCCTGCTTTAGAGTGATGAGAAAAAAATTTATTAATCACATTTTTAAAACACAAATCCAAGGCGAATTTATAAAAGGTGATGTTAGATACTAGATCAGCTGATTTTGTGTAGTGTGTTTCGACACACGGCTTCGAATGTCAAATTGAAAAGTTTTGTTTGCATTTCCGCACAAACTCTCACTGATTTTGACAGTTTATGACGCCAAAGCAAAAACAAAATACGTGTAAATTTCTGTTTTTGTACTACTGCTATCACCTTATATATGTATTAATTCGCCTTGCACAAAACTTGAAACAACAAAGCCGCAAAGCTTTTTACACCAAACTTTAAATTTAGTAACTGACAATAGAGAAAAGACCGAATCTAGAAAAATTGATGACAAACGGCTAAGCAAGCAAGAAGCACAAAAAGTGTTCCACCGTCTCGTCATCTTCAGGGCAGGATGGGTAAATGGAGTTGTCATTCACGCCTATCTCAATTAGGTGTAAGTAAGCAGTCTAACAAGTTGTCTGCGGTCCCGTCTGCTCAGTGAGAGCAAAAAACCAGATAGACCTTCTGGGAGTGAAGGCAACATGAGTTTTACCCACCTGCATCTCCTCGATGCCTCCCAGTCATTGCTGAACGAAGTATTCCCCAGTTTCTGGTGGTGGCCTCGATGGCCAAAGTGGGGAGTGCTGTAAGTGGTTGGGGATCGAGGAATGCCTGGTCTAAACCCATTGTGGCCAAATGATTAGATGTCCCTTTAGCAGGTACTCCCGAGTGGCCTGGCACCCAGAGCAAAGCAAGCTCGTTATGTTTACCAACATAATTTAGTCGAGACTTGCATTGCCGAACTTATTTGGAAGTACTTTGATAGAGGGCTGGCCAATGCCTTCACTGCAGCTTGGCTGTCACTGCAGACACGTAAACTTCTCCACCTATTTTCCTCCACGTAGTCCATGGCTTTGAGGATTGCAAATTCCTCAGCCTGGAAGACGGAAGCTTATTCCCATTAACGTCGAAAAAAACTCCAGGTCCTGACCCAAAGACAGTAGTTTAGTCATCAGTGAAGATTCCACAATGTATGAGCCCGGGCTCAGTACTGGGATTAAACCAAAATACAGCCTCAGGGAACTCAACATTATAGAATCTTTTCACCAAAGGTAATGGTGGCGTACTATCCTGTAGCATTGAAAAGATACAAGTGCTCAGTTCTCTATCGCCAGCAATTTTCACCTCGCCTCACTCAGTGTTATACCAACATCCGTTTCTGTTTAGTCTGCAGGTGGAATTTAATGCTTCCCCACATACATATGAAGACACAAAGCGACGGTAAGTGTAGCAGAGCACTATACAACACTCAAAAAAAAAAAATTAAATAAGGAGGCTATCAAGAAACCATTTTGGTTCTTTACTATCGAAACCAGATAAATTTTCGAGGACCCCCATAGTTTTTCACGCCAACGCAGACCCCCGTCGAGTTTCCCGTGGACACCCGGGGCCCACCTGGACTACTTTGGGAATCACTGGTCTACATGGTCGGAACGAGTCAGATTTATACCTGGCCAAGGAATGTCACTCGAACACTATTCCCAAAAAGCTCAATGCTGAATTTGTATACTGGTAGAACACCAACAACCACTCTAAATATCGGCTCGCTGGCACGGATTTTATCATAATAAGCTAAATTATTCCGAAAAAAATCCGTGCGAGGTGTAAGCGCCTTTTGCGTTTATATTTTGGTTTTTAATATAGCGAAAATCACCGAATGCTCATATCGCTAGCTTAGAAAGAAAAGTTGCTAAGTCCCATTTTAAAAATTTTACAGGAGAGGAAAAAATCTTCCTATAGCCATTTTCTTTAACTAATTCGCAAGACTTTGAATCAAACATTTTGCGCGTTAAAAGCAAAGCTAAACTCCATAAGAATCAGAAGGATTCGATATTTATTAAAAGATGTCGAATTATTTTGGCCTTATCGGATTTGTGGTGCTTCTTCGGACTTAGCAAATTTTCCTTTTATTGCTTATGAAGAGGAAAAAATAAAACAAGTACCTATATAATTTTCGAAACGATGCGTATTCAATTTCTTTAGCCTCCTATATCAAAATATGAGTTTTCGTAAAAAGTGGACTTAGCAACTTTTCACTCTAAGCTAGCGATATGCAAAATGTATTCAACGGCTGCGCCATAAATCCCGCAAGTGATTTTGTCAAAAAGTTAATCGTAAATAGCTAATTAATTTAAAAGGAATTTGAGAAACTTTTTATGTTTCGGTAGTGTCGTAAGGTAAGGATAGTCCGGCCAAAAATCTTTGAGCATATCAAATTTCACCGAACCAGTCCTGGTTTTGCACAAAGGGCGAGTTCATAAATTCATTACTGCAGCATCGCTGCAAAAAAGAACAGTCCCTTTTATTTGTAAACTAGCAGGCGTAAACGAGGTTAAATGCCGAATTGTAACTAAGTTGTATAAATAAGGCATTTCTATGAACTATAATTTAGCAGTAATACTGCAGTTTAATTAACGAACTGACCCAAAATCTTTTACGCGACGGTATTTGTCTTAAAAACTCAAATTGTTAAGGATGCGTTAGGCTGAGCCATCGGAAATTTGGCTCAGATTTAGATTTGAAAAAGATGCCCGATGTGAATTAAATCTTTAGGCAGGAAGTACTTTTTGTCAATAGCACTAAAAATATTAATAATTAGGTTCTTTAACAATATGTACACATATATTTTTTGATCCTTTTAAAATGATTCACTACCAACATAGTTGCTCTTTAATTATTAGTTTATCACTTTAACAGCCAAAAACCGAAAAGTATAATTTTAGCGTTTTAATTGGTGATACTTTAAAATATATTCAGCTTCATTTGAGTTATGTTAATTAACACTAATCGAAAAATTTATTCTCAAATTTTCGACACTGTTGCGAAACAATTTAGTGAGTTATGGTGAATAGGATATGTAGCACAGTACTTGAAGAAGTACAACAATACAGTGCGATAGCGAACACGAAATTTTGGTGACCATTCACTACTAACATCCGAAAGGAACTGTATCGAATTGGTTCATACAAACACCAAAGAACTCGGATTGCAGTGGTCACATTTTTGAGCGTTCCTCTGCGTAGCGCGCGGTCTACATAGAGGTGCAATAGCAACAACAACAAGAAAGCACATTGCGTCAGTGCGCAGGATCAACAAATAATATTCGCCGCAAAGAAGTTTGTCTGCGTTGCTGAAGAGGAAAATAAAGAAAAATGAAAAAAATTGATTCGAAAACCAAAAAAAATGAATTAAAATTTTTTAAATATTTAGTAACAAATATTTAACAGTTTTCACAGACTACAGATATACATATGTACATATGTATGTACATATATGCCATGTGTATATAGGTACCAGGTAACTCAGTGTGCAGTTGTATATACTAACATATGTACATAGTAAGTATAAATATAAACATACCGTGGACACATGACATCCACAAAGCACGTGCTCTCCAATTCCATTTCGTAGCACGGTGTCAACTAAACAAGTAGCTGTATGTTGCTCCAATTTGCCCCAAACTTATCTACATACATATGTATGTATGGTCATATGTACCAGATTTTTCGAGTTGTTGCGCTTACCTTAAAGCTATAAGATAGAGATACAAATGAACATCCATAGATACTTTTACAAACATATGCACGTGTCCGTATTTACATGTAACGTCCTTAATCGTGTAGCTTTCTCCGTGACCTAACTCAACTTGGGAAAAATATTACTTGCATGAAAATACTTGCATAGACAAATGCCTCCGTTTTCTTTATTTAAGTGTGAGTTGCTACTTGCCACCCACCGAAATGTCTTTTGTATGCTTTGACGGATGCACTCACTGCAATCGATTTGGAATTGCATAAGCTTAAGCATTTTGAAAGCTAACAACTTTTCACACATTTTATATGTATGTAAGTATGTATAAACTAGCAGACCGGCGAACTTCCTCCCGCCCAAAATAAATTTTTTTTTATTGAAACTTTTTGGTCCAACATTTTCACCAAAAATTCAC